CTATACATTATTCCAAAGAAAAGGCCTGCAACCTAAACATCACAACGTCGAGAGGAAGTTTTGCTCTTTTTTCGTAACTAGCAACAGGGCCTTTGTAATTTCGTCGCAGCGCGCTCATGGGTGCTTGGGGAGCTATCATTACACGCACCATAGAAAAACTAAATACTGGAAATGACTAGACACGAACATAAAAAAGACAAAATTAAATTAAGTTACTATTCATTATTTCATTCATATTACATGACTCATTCTAAGTGCAAGCAACTAGCTGTATACCGTGACTTCGCCCATCATAACGTGATAATGATTAGCCTATAATTTTACTCAAGAAATTAGCTATTAAATGTAAAAAGAATTTTTCAAATTGAACTAGTAGTTTCAGAAATTAACACATTCATGCGAACAAACAAACAAACTATTCTACTTTATTGTATTAGCATAGATTTAATTATATAGTATAATAGTACTTAGATAAAGCCGCAGAAAACAATTAGAGTAACATAGTAGTAAGTGGCGAGAACTGCACCGACAAGAACGCAGCTCTTGAATAGGAAAGAATATCCAATATATGGTCCATATTTGTTCTAAATTTCATTCAAATTTATCTAGCGATACGTGATTGAGTAAGAAATATCCAAACATCTTGACAAACTTGCATGTTTATAATATTAATAGGTTCGTACGATGACCTTATTGTACGTTTTATTTACCGTGTACCTATAATCAATCCGTATATTTAAAAATATTGAATAGTTTTTGCAGAAAAGAATAACAAACATCTATTTTACAAACTATTTATTTATCATTCACTTGAAATATAAGATACAACATATTTTGTTTTTCGCATATATAATAATAGTAAGAAGAAAACAAAGAAGACTCCAGTACGTTTTATCTCTTTGTTCTATCCTCTCAGATCACACGGAGAGATCACCGCGTCAAGATTAACAACAAGCTTGGCTCGGTGACTTTTTGTTTTTTGAAAACAAAAATGAACAAACAACATATTTTGCTCTTGAGATAATCTATTTTCTTCCTTTTTTTAATTTTCAACTTTAATTCTAACAAACTTCCCCGCTTGCGCCGTGATTGACTGGTCGAGATAGATGATTAGACATGTAGATTCACGATATATTTTAGTTTAATACTAGCTCATCATCATCACCATCATATCAGAATCTAACTGTTCACTGCTGAACACAAGCCTCTCTTTTGGGAGGTTTTACCAGTCCATGCTTGGCAAGCGGATTGGCAACCGAAGTTAGGGTTAAGAGATGTTTTAAGAGGGACGCTGCTACCCATCACTCGCCTTACTTTAATCGCCTCTTACGACACCCACGGGAAAGGAAGGGATGGCCTCTTTTTCTATGCCAGGACAACATGAGCACGAGCACATATAAATTAAATAAACCCTCACTATTCCTACTAATATTACTTATATAAATGTGAATGTAAATTTGTTTGTTTGTTACCTTTTAACACCTTAAGGGCATAGCCAATCACTGTGAAATTAGGTACACGTACTATATAGAATGGAAAAAACTGTATGCTCACATTTATAATAATTCTTTAATAAAGGCAACCAGGGCCTACAAAATTTTAACGATATTAATTTGCACGAACTATAAATTATTAAATCAAATTTTAAATTACTTTTCTTATACATTTATAAATAAATAACATTAACTTACCCTACTTTTTTTGTATGTTAGCCAATATATGAATCATTCTGCTATGATTCAAATACTGACAATCTGGACGGTCTGCAAATACCCTTAGGATAGGGGGGAAAGGGAATGTTAGCAATGGAGTTTGACAGCCCCATTGCTAGCAATTAAAGAAAGTGAAATACATATTTTAATTGAATTTAGAACGCAATTTGCAGCAAGGAGTAATTTGATCGCAAAGAAATATCTTAAATACAATTTTGTCACAAAATTAATATCGAGCCGCAGCAGTAAACCTTATAATAAAAAATTCTGAAAATCAGTTTAGAATGACAATGATATCGTTTAACATAAACAAAGGAAACAAACGAATTGAAAACCTTCTTCTTTGGAAATCGCTTAAAAATTGATTTACATTTATCAAATACACCATCAAAAAAAAAATACGTAAAAAGAGAATTACTATTCTTAATCCACGAAAAAATTATATTTTTTTATACAACTTAAAATGGCAAAAAAACTGTCAGCCATCCCGATGGAATGTATTAACCGTCGCCTATAAATATAAACAGTATCATAGACATAACAGAGTATACTGAGCTCCCCATGATACCCAGCATGTGTTGCCATTCTTGAGGGCTTAGATGTTATAGTGAAATTACAGAGTAAACTTTGTAATTTCATTGCTATATCCCATCCTTCAAACCGAAACACAGTCATGTAAACACAACTGCTTCACGTAATAAACACGAATGGGACAAAGCTAATCAAACAGACGACTTTTGTACAATGTCTCCCTCTGGTATTTAAATTTTCGAATTTTATCTTTTTACTTACAAAAAAAAAGTATATAAAACCTCCTTTTTGAAATATCTTTACACTTATCGTCTATTTTTATTTTATTTTATTTTACGTAAAAGAAAGATAAATGGAAATGCGGTTCACATTAAAATTTCCTGCGTAAAAATTTCGTACTTCTATTCCTATAAGTATCTCATCCGATCCCATCAAACGCCATCCCCCAAAAGGTTGTTAACGACAGGCGACCGACCACCAGGACCGGCTTTCATTACTCCACGCCGTAACATTTTATTGCCTTTTTTCGGACAAAATTTTTATATCCGTTTTTTTATCAGCAAAGAATAATTTTCGGCAGTAAAGTTATGTCGTCGCTCGCTTTGGGTTGTTACTGAGCTAGAAAACGAAAGGTTGTATTTCTTAATTGTAATTAAAGGAAAATATCTTAATTAGGCATTATTAAAAAAAAACTTAAATAATTTATTAATCGCATAAATAAAATCTCCATTAATTAATTTATTTAAAGGATAATAACATAGACGTATCCTGCACTATTAGTTTACACTGGCGGGCTGTTGGCGAGCGATGAACGGTGTGGATAAAGTCAGATTAGATGGCCCGTCGTGATGAATTCGTTCAGGAATTAACAATGCCTCTCCCCACAATCCCTGATAAGTTTCAAGATACATACAATCGATTAACTTTAATATAAAATTGAGTGACTATGCGCGTTTAATTTGTAAACGAGTATGTGTTGATTTAGAATTTTAATAACACAGCAATTATTTAATTTTTCTTTTTATTTAATCGACTTCAAAAAACAAGCAGACTCTGAGCAGCCGTTAGCTGTCGACTGCTGAATATAGGCCTTCCCTATGAGAGGGATTTTGCCAGTAATTGTCACCGTTGACAAGCGGGTTGACAACCACTCTTAGACTTTGGTGATGTTTTAAAAGGGACGCTGTTGCCCATCCCTAGACAATTCCTTAGTCGCCTCCTACGACACCCACAGGAAGGGGAGGTTCATTCTATGCTGTGGCCATACGGCTGTTTTATTAAATACACGGAATTTGTCATTATGAATTATAAAAAGAAACAGGCTCCTTGGAATTCGTCTAGATGGATTTTATCATTGTCATTATCCGGACTCGGATCCTTTCCCTCAAGAAGAAAAAATGTTTTAGAGGGATTAATAGGTAACATTATTATAGTCATTTTAATATCAGGTTTTTAACAACCCTGATTGTATAAATAATTTAACAATAACATTATATTTAAGCAAAGCCTACTAGTAGGTCTATGAGGGCAATTTACAGTTAACACGCGATATTTTAAAACGACCCAGTTCACTGTACGTAGCCCGTAGTATGATGATAGAATGATAACTCACTCCATGAAGGTTAAATGCCATACTTTAGATTTCTTTTCAGAATTATTAATGCGCTAGTTGACTGCCTGGAGTTTTCAAGCGCGCATTTATTACATTTCAGACATAGGGGTCGTTTGTGAACAAGAAAAGAAAGGGGTAAAAGCATCACAAAACTCAAACTATTAGAGATATCTAATGGAAAATGGCAACCATAATCTTTCTCCATAGCAAAACAGGGAGTCGTTAATTTAGACGTATTTTCGTCATTATTCGATCTGTTTTTGGAAAAAATATTCTGTTTCACGGATAGATTTTCTAAATAGTCGCGTACAGCGCGGTTTCAAAGATGTTTCCTCCCACGAACACTCAGGTTATGAGCTCCCTGCCGAGGTTTTCCCAAGAGACTACAGCATGAGGTTCTTCAAAAGGGGGGTAGATAGATAGAAATTTATTTACATTACTTACATCACACAAATTACAATACAAACTTTCATTCATGCGTGTGCCATAGTAACACAAAATGGTCACAACTCAGTTTATTGCTTTGCCCTCAAAAAAGCAATGTAAATAGGTTTCTTCAGGGTCGGCAACGTGCGCGTAATACCTCTGGTATTACAGGTGATTATAGGCTATGGTAACCACTTACCATCAGGTAGGTCGTATGCTTGTTTGCCACCTCAGTGGTATAAAAAAAGATCATTCTCTTAAAAGTACTTAAAAGACGCAAAGCACCGTTACACATGTATATGGACATCAAGTATAGATATATAGATAGATAATAAGGTAGATAGACTGGCAGACCTACAAAATAAAAAATCGACCGAAAAGATCTGAAAGATGTAGCAGGAGTCAATTTGTAGTGGCTGTGCATGCGCATGATACCCCAGATGCGTTACCATTCCTGAGGACTCAGATGTTATTTCTCTGTACCCTGTAAATTCATTTCCATATCTGTAATGTATGTCCAGAGATATCGAAATAAAAACGCAAGATTACTATTACTTGTTTACTGGTCGGTTACAGACTAAATGACATTTTGTTTCTTAGTTACCTTCAATAGTGTAACTTGATACCCTCAAATACTACAATCCCTCCCCCACTTATTCTTAAAAAAAAAAAAAAACTAAATTAAAAACTATAAACAAAACATTTTAAAGTTACCTAACCTAGAGTTTATAATTAACCTTTTTCATTCTTGTGGATCGTATTGGATTTCGGCCTCTTTTAATAACCGTAGGTTCAGCTTCTGTAACCATCGTATGATCATTCTGATGGCCCCTCAACTCTGTCACCGGCGTTGGCACTAAAGCTGAGGTCGATGGGACAGATATTTGTTTCTCCTGAGGATCATTTTCTATGGGAAGTAGTGACAGGGGAGTTGACGTCGTTTGTTCAGCGGTTGTTCCTACTGAGTTATGGTCTGGTATGGAGACGAAAGAGTCATCATGTGAAAATTCTGCCTGAGATGAGCTTGATGTTTCTGGTAACTCTGGAGCGCAGACATCTGGATTGGTGATTGCTCCTTCCGGAACTATAGGTTGACACACAACCTCTGATGAAACTGTCTCTTCCCTCATGTTTCTGTCCGTCCCCTCCCCAACAATGGGGTAGTAATCACTTAGGCTAATATCATCTAAATCCTGAGATAAGTCAGTTCCTTTATAGGCCAATAACTGATCCACATGTTTTTTTACATGACAATTTAATTCTGGTACAAAAATAACATACATCCTAGAACCAATTTTTCGTTGTATTGTTCCCAATTTCCATATATGTTTCATGCCATTTTTAAAAATATGTTTTACCAAAACTTTACTTCCTGTTGAAAAGTCCGTCCTGCGATGTCCTCCAAATTGCTTACGCTGTAAGGTCTGTTTAACAAAAACATTGTTTTGAACTGTGGATGCTAACGACTCAGATGTATTATTATTGTTATTAGGTTGAATAACGCGTAACAAATCGAGCCGGCAGCGCAGTGCTCGCCCTAGTAATAGTTGCGCTGGTGAAAAACCGGTTGTGCAATGTGTCGAATTGCGATAATTGAATAAAAAATTGTTTATTTTTTTCATAATATCTTTTTGATGTGTGTTTTCTCTTAAAATATTCCGTACACCCTTCTTTAACGTCTTCACGCTATTTTCAGCCTGACCATTGGACGCCGGGTGGTATGGTGCTATAGTGACGTGTTTAATACCATTTAATACACAAAAATCCTCAAATTGCGTGGAACAAAAATTTGTCGCATTGTCTGTCACTAACGTATGAACCAATCCAAACCTACTAAATATCTCATTTAGTTTATTAATTATCGACTGGCTATCGGTATTAGACATTAAAAAACACTCAATCCATTTTGAATAGGCATCGACAGCTACTAAAAACTGATGCTTGTCAATTGAAAACATGTCCAAATGAATGCGTTCCCAAGGTCGTGCTGGGAATGCCCACGGCGCGAGGGGAGAACGAGGGGGTAAACTACGCTGAGAATTGCATAAACTACAAGAACCTATTTTTTCTTCAATATGTCTATCAATATTTGGCCACCAAAAACGAGTTCTTGCTTCCGTTTTTGTACGTACTACCCCAAAATGGGAACTATGCAATTCATTCAATATGCGCTCTCTGAACTTGTGAGGAATTACTACTTTATGACCTCGTAAAATACATTCATTCTCTAAGGATAATTCGAAACGACATAAGAAATAAGGCTTTATATTAATATCTGTCATCTTGGGGGGCCATCCCGTTTTAATATAATAAGCTACTTTCTTCAAAATTCCATCTAAACCTGTTTCTTTTTTAATGTCCTCTACTGTGATAGGTTTTAACATTGAGTCTTCAATAAAATTTATATAAGTTATGGGATCAATATTTAATTTATTTTTATCGTCGAACATTTCCATTGCATTTACACTACGCGACAAAAAATCTGCTACGTTATTATCTCCTTTAATGTATTCAATTTTAAAATTATACGCAGATAAAAATAGGGCATAGCGCTGTAATCTGTTTGCTGCCATCTCTGGGACTCCTTTTTTATTACCAAAAATCGATATAAGTGGCTTGTGGTCTGTACGCAAAATAAAAGGGGTCGAACGCCCATATAAATAATGGTGGAATTTTTTTATCGCAAATACAATCGAAGTAGCTTCTTTTTGAATTTGTGCGTAATTACGTTCAGAGTTAGATAAGGAGCGTGACGCGTAGGCGACCACGCGTTCCGTGCCGTCTGGTTGCCGCTGCGCCAACACAGCGCCCAGCCCCTGCGGTCCGGCGTCCGCCGTCACTATGGTCTGGTACTCTGGACTGTAATGAGCCAATACCCGATCTGACGACAATTCTGACTTAATTTTATTAAAAGCCCCATTTTGTTCTTTCCCCCACGTCCACTTAGTGCCTTTTTTTAATAAAGCGTGCAATGGACTTAATACACTAGATGTGTTAGGAACAAAACATCTATAATAGTTTATCATTCCTAAAAATGATTTAAGCTCTGTAACGTTTTTTGGACAATTACTATTAATTATAGCGTTTACTTTACTTTCTGATTTATGCAAACCATTTTTATCTATACGAAAACCTAAGTATTCTACACAATCTTTAAAAAGATCGCACTTTTCCCGTTTCAAACGTAAACCAGCTTCTTGTAGTCTCCACAAAACCTGTTCTAACCTATTCAAATGTTCTTCTTTTGTAGACCCTGTGATCAAAATGTCGTCTAAAAATATACATGTACCCTCTATATCACCTAATAACTGTTCCATTGTGCGCTGAAAAATAGATGGCGCGTTAGATAAACCGAAAACTAAACGATTATAAATAAACAAGCCCTTATGTGTGTTAATACATGTTAAATATTTAGAATCGTCCAATTCTAGCTGGTTGTAGGCCCTGGATAAATCTAATTTAGAAAATTGTAATCCGCCATGTAATTTCGCAAATAAATCTTCGATGCGCGGCAATGGATAATTGTCCATAAATAATGCTTTATTTAGCGTCACTGAAAAATCGCCACAGATCCTGATACCACCATCAGAACGCAATACCGGAACGATCGGTGTAGCAAATTCGGAATGTTCTACTCTTTCCAAAATACCTAAGTCCGATAATCGCTGTAACTCACCTTCTACTTTATGTTTCAACGCTAAAGGTACCGGGCGAGCTTTGAAAAATTTCAATTGAATATCCGGTTTAATTTTTAAATGTACCCTGTATTTATTAAATGTACCCAGTTCATTTCTAAACAGCTTTTCATACTTTTTAATAAGAAAACTATCGATATTATAATTTTTTAAATGATTTAAATCATGTAGCGTGCTACATAATTTCAATTTAAAATTACTTATAAAATCCCTGCCCAATAATGCCGGTTGATTATCGTGAGTAACGATAACAAACAATTTAATGAACTTAGTACATCTCTCAAACGTTATCGGTAATGATACATACCCCAACGGTGATATTTTACTTCCATTATAGCAATTCAACACAACATTACACGATTTAAGGTTATGTTTATTTTTAAAATATGACTGGTATATATCGTCCGGTAAAACTGATACCGCGCTGCCGCTGTCTATTTCACACAATATGTCGCTATTGTCTATAGTAACTACCTGACGCATCGGTTGCCCGTCTATACACTCGATACTAAATAAATCAAAATTACCTTCTACCACGTCGTCGTTATCATCCACAGTGACCAAGTATTTACAACTGTTCACTTTTGATTTACACATTCGTTGCAAATGTCCCTTCTTATTACACCTTCGACATATATATTCTGAATAACGACACTTTTCTTTCGAATGGTTTTTGTAACCACACACATCACACGGTACTTCTGACTTGCTGTTCGAGCTGGACGAGATCTCGCCGCCGGCGCCACCGGCGCCGCTGGTGTCCCGGTGCGGCCGATGCCGGTATGCAACGCATATACCGGTTGTTGCTGGTGCGCTGTCCCTGTGTCTGCCCGTGACGATTGCAATGCCAAGCGCGAACACCGCACTCTCTGTGCTATTTCCAGCGCATTGTTAAAAGTCAAAGTATCAATGGATTCGGCGAATAATTTTTCCTTCTCTTTTACGTTTTCCAATCCAAGAATAAAACGATCTCTCAAGGCGGTATCTAACTCCGTTTTAAAACCACAATACTGTGCTAAATGTCGCACTCGCGCTGCCCATTCTGCTAATTCTTCTCCCACCCGCTGTTCTGCTTTATAAAATTGGTATCGCTCCGCAAATGTACTCTTTTTTTCACAAAAATGCGTATCCAATTTTTCTAGAAGCAATTTAAATTCCTCATTCTCCAAAGGCGTAGGGAAAACAATATCCCGGGCTACGCGGTATGTATCTTCCACCAAAGCAGTTAATAACAATGCGCGTCGTTTCACTCCACTTTTATCACTTCCGTCATTTATATCGTTTGCAGTGCAGTATTGGATAAAACGACTCTTGAATATACCCCATTCTTGTGAGCGGTGGTCAAACGTGAGACTGCCCCCGAACAACATATTTCCGTAACTTGCCATCACTTCTACGATATCTATTTATAAATACAGCTTTAATTACACGTGTGAATTATTTCTCGTCGCCAATATGTAATGTATGTCCAGAGATATCGAAATAAAAACGCAAGATTACTATTACTTGTTTACTGGTCGGTTACAGACTAAATGACATTTTGTTTCTTAGTTACCTTCAATAGTGTAACTTGATACCCTCAAATACTACAATATCCCACCCTTCAAACTGAAACACGAATGGGACAAAGGTTTGAGCAAACGACTTTTGTACAAAGTCTCCTTCTGGTGCTCCTTTTAACTGTGGATTTACTGGAAGAGAACTTTTACAGCTAAGAGTTAAGTTCGCCTGTTGTACATCTTTAATCAAAATAAATTTTAACAACGTAATCTTTGTGTGCAATAAAGTAAAAAAAGAAGTCCAATTGTTTTTAAATTCCACCCAATATTTATTATAACAGCCGTTAACTATCCACTGCTGGATATAAGCCTTCCTCATAAGGCAAGTTTCGCCAGTACTTTTCATATTTGGCAGGCGGGTTGGCATCCGCAGTTAGGCTTTTAGAGATATTTTAAGAGGGACGCTGCTGCCCATCCCTTGCCATCTCTTAGTCGCCTCTTACAACACCCACGGGAAAGGAAGGGATGACCCTTTCTATGCCGGGGCACACACGCCGATATAGTCATATGTATATATGGAATCAGACATAATGAAGAACAAATTTACTGAAAAATATGCAGGAACTAAACTTACAAACATCGGAAAATTTACTGTAATAAACCATTAAATCACCAAAGCCATTATAAAACTTGATGGTTATAATTTGCTTACATTAACAGAAGTCTCTTCTGCGCTCAACCAAATGGGAAACAGAGAGAAATAACGTTCATTTTCAAATATACGCAGTCCTGCCTCTCTATTTATTGCACGACTCCGTTCAGATGGCGACCAATCGTAAATAAGAATTAGACGCAATTCACCGTTTCCTATTACTTGTTTTGTCGCAAACGTGAGCCTGTTTTATTGCGACCAGGTTTTTGTCTTTAAAAGTAATTTCCGGTCCCCGTTAACATTAATGGTATTTCAGCGATGAAGTAATGCAGCTTTATGGAAATTTCGAATGGGTTTTTGTTGGTAATAATAATTGATTATAAACACAGGCTCGAAAATTATAATTCTAGCCAGAAAATGTAAAATTACAGGGTATGGAAGCATAATATCTTAGAAGAGAGAAGAATAACAAGCGGCGTTTTTCAAGGCACTTTCTTCCACGCACAACCATTCTTTGGAATCAACTTCCAGCAGCAGTATTTCCGAACCGATACGACAACATAACCTTCAAGAAAAGAGTATATTCCTTTTTAAAAGGCCGGCAGTACACCTGCAATGCCGTTGGTGTTGTGGATGACCATGGGCGGCGGTAATCACTTACCATCAGAATCGTTTGCCCCCTGTGTTGTAAAAAAAAAAATTATAACACAAGAGGTGTGTTATAGGCTTCATTATTATAATTATTAATTATTATACTACGACAAGTAACCACACTATCCTAAATGAATACAGAAACAACATGGTCCATGATAGAGGTTTGTTTGAATCAAAGCATTTGGCGTTCCGTTATTTCTGCCTACCCTAATGGGAGACAGGCGTGACTGATATGTATGTATGATCCGTGAATGCGACCAACCAAAAAAATAATGTTTTACTCTGAACGGTTGGCTGCACTACGCTAGCTAAGTGCTTTTTCACGCTATGTTTGAAGGATCTGTAGATATAGGATGAAGAAAATATGCAAAGGGAAAGCCCATTCCATTATTACGGTACGGTTCCCTTAAGGCTTTGCAAACTTATTTGTACGCGAGCATCAGTGATCTACCGTGTATGCCACTGGCCTGTTCTTATGGTGCGATGTTGGAAATTGAAACGTGGAATAAGGGAATTTAGTTCTTCTGAATACTCCTCGTGGTATCGTTGGTAGAGGACGCTGAGGGAGGCTACATCTTGACGTAATTGTAGAAGTTAAAATTTATAACCGATGATTATTATCGGTAATATTGTATAAAAACAATGTCTGTAATCAACAATAAACCAAAATTGAAAGCCAAAACAGACATTACGTCAACCTTACACTAAGACTGACGAGGAAAGCCAATACCAAACGAAATGGGTTTGGTATTGGCTTTCCTCTCCACGAAATATTGTAGAAAGTCGATAAATGCAAGTAACGCTGGTTCAAACTTTGTGTATATCAGGAATCAGTTCCTTCCCATCTATAAATATTTATAACAATTATAAACCTATTTAAGCTCGAATTCTAAGAATCTCAGTTGGCTTTGAATATAGTTTTTTTTTATTTTTTTTTATACAACTTAGAATGGCAAACAAGCTGACGGTCCACCTGATGGAAAGTGGTAACCATCGCCAATAGACATGAGCAGTACCATGGACATAACAGAATTTACTGTTTCCCCATACGTTGCCATTCCTGAGGACTCAGGTGTTATTCCTCTGTACCCAGTAAATTCACGCCATATCCCACCCTTCAAACCGAAACACAGCCATGCAAACACAACTGCTTCACGGTTGAAACACCATTCGTTTGGACAGAGTTCTTTTATTTAAACACAAACAAAGATTTCATCCAGCTTTATCGTGTGCAGTGTTGTAAAGATAAATTCACAGGCCACAAATTTCACCTGTCATGAATCAAACAGGTGGTCGAATTCATCACGGGCGAAACAAAATACGGAAACGCAATGAAATAGAACGGAAAATACTGGATAGAAGTGGCAGTCATATAAGTTGCTTTGTGCTTGCTGCTATGCTGCTAGAATGTAACCGTCCCCCCTTCAGATCCAGTATAAGTTGGGAGAATTGTTAAGACTTTTTTTTTAATTTATTTGCAAATTATTTTAGGATTTGGATACGACCCACGATGACGTACAATTGAGGAGATGCATACTCTCATTATGCTTTTATATAACTAGTCCCATTTTTTGGTAAATATTGGCTTCCCGTTTTGGAACAAGATAATTTTGTCCCAAGCCAAAGTTTGCTCTCTTTTCTCGAAAGCATCAAAAATCCTAAATATAAATGTATGCTATTAGTATAGGTATCAATCAATGTATCCAAATATTAGTTTATATAACGTAATTTATTTACACAAATAATTAAAATTTACATAAATCTTGACGATTTATAATCTAATAAATCTCACTTTGTGACTTTTCGGTAATTTTGTCCATGCAATTCGTATCAAATTGCTTGTCTTCTAGACTGTCTGAAAATTCTTCTTGGAATGGACCAAGTTTACGTCTGTGTTGCTTCTATTATTATACTTGTCATCAGGGTGTATCGTATGAAAGACTCAAAATTGTTTATGATTTTTCAATGCATGTTTTTCGATAAAAAATTTCAATTTGTATGGTTTCTAATTCATCCTGTACATGTATTATGAACTAATATAAATATAAAAATTCCACGTGTCCTGAATCAAACAGGTGGTTGAATCCATCAGGGGCGAAACGAAACACGGATGCACAATGGACCGGAACGTAGGTAACAAGGGTTGAGCGGAAACGACGCAACCGTGCGGAAACTACGTGGCAATGTATTAACAAAAAGATAATCGATATGTAAAATATATCGATCGATCGAATAAAATACGAGTATATAATCCAAGAGATGGGTGGGCTAGCATCCAGCTACGTTGGTGTCAGTTATGCTGGGCTACATATGGGGAATCGAGTGTCACATTTACCACCACGACAACAGTAGCAAATGCCTCTAACAACATCAACAGAGATTATTCCAGTCAGCATATTTTTTATTTCACTAATCCTTTAATAAAACATAATAAGAGCATTTTGTGCTATCTATCTAAAGTATATAAAGCTCCACGTGTGATTCCGGGCATAGAATAGGCCACCTCTTCCTTTCTCATGGGTGTCATAAAAGACGATTAAGGGGAAGCGAGGGATGGGCAACAGCGTCCCTCTTCAAAAATCTCCAAAGCCTATCTGCGGTTGTCAATACGACTGCCAAGCGTGGCAACTACTGGCAAAATCCCTCTAGGGGAGGTTTATGTTCAGCAGCGGACAGTTAAAAACTGATATGATAATGTATGAATATTATGTATAGTTGTATAAAAAAAAATTGTGTTCTTTTTTTATTTCATTATAATAAAAATCACCATCCGTATAATAAATTAGTATACAATTCTCAAAACTGAGGGCCTACCATGAAATGTTTTTCGAAATTTCGAGTCCGCACGAAACACTAATTTGATGTTAAAATTACATGATGTATACCGTTTAAAAAGATTTAAAATGCTAAAGTATCGTTCCTTTAGACTTTTATGGTAGGATTTATGACAAACGAAGTGTTAAGCTCCATTTACTGGGTCGATTTCGGTATGTACAAAAACACAAAATTGAATCCGAAAATTCGGATTTTTATTTCATGATAGACCTCCTGTTTTTAACCTCACATAACGCATTTTTTTATGGGTGAAAATGGTATGGTAACCCTGCCTGCGCTAACGAGATACGCTGACGGAGCACCAGTGAAGGGTGATAGATGAGAATGAAAACAGGGCAGTTAGCCCATCATGATGAATTCATCAGGAATTAACCATGATAGTTTCCAGGGAGAAGCGTGAAGAGGTCGACCTGGTTGGGTATATTGCTAGCAATGGGATTCTCAGTCTCCACTACTAACAATCCCTTTACCCCCCACATAGCGTATTTATAGGCCTATATTACAGCAGTAATCTCCTATGTTTCTCTAATAATACTATATCTAATATTAATACTATGACATACCTCGGCCGTGACTCTGTAGCCTCCCTTCCCCTTCCCATGATCAGGGGAGTGGCGTAACGTCTTCGCGTCAATCTGCACATTCGTCTGCATACTGCACAATTTCACAACACTTCACAACACTTCACAAAACCTCACAAATGGTTACAACTATAGTCCAAGTTTACATT